TTATTTTGTTAATAACAATTGTAATTTTTTATCTGCGCTAAAATCCTTCGAAAAATTTTTTCTAGAGGTGATTCCGAATCGAATGAGCTATCGCTTATATTTTTAGGAGCTTTATTTCTATTTTTCATGTTTTTGAACTTGTTGATTAGACTATCTGGGGCTTCCGTCATCTTCAACATCTTCACGGTTATCTTGAAAACGCTTATACTATTCGCAAACTTTCGTTTTACTCATAGCAGACTCACCATAGACTTGATTTAACATTTCAAGCGCTTTTTTAGGACAAAACACAAGCACTACAGGAAAATCCTCAAGTGCTCTAAGAGCGGTGTGTCTGTGCGAAAGTAGCGATTTACGCTGGATTTGAATCGCTGGAGATTAAATTCATTTGGAAAAACGTTTTCAGCAAGTTTATTCCATATATACGCAGTTCTCTAAATGAAAGTGTTCTTATACAGTAAGGTTCGAGGTGTAATGAGTTGAATCTCAAAACGATGAACAGCCACAGTCCGTCGCGTATTTCTGATATTTACCGCTCTTGGTGGAATCAAATGTGCCAAGTCACTTATACACTTCCCGTGAAAGTATCTATAGAAGAGAGACCAATCTCCAATCCTTCTTCAATATTCCAGGCTATCAAGGTTGCACGTGATGTTCGCGTCTCCAGTCAGGCGGGTGACTCTTTTCTGAATCGAATCCAGCAACTTCAAGGTATGTTTGGGGGCAGAGCTCCATACATGAGAACAATACTCCAAAGTTGCTGAGGTATGTACAGTTTTCTGGTTCGGAACAGTGTTCCAAGCTTTTGAGAAGCAGATTTTGCAATTCTAGCGAAACGATTGTGTCGCGAGATTGGTGTTCATTTCAACCCTCAACAAACTTATCGAAGTAGAAAGCGAAATTGTTTGTCCTGACATGACATTAAACCTGGTTACTTTCACCCCAATTCGAAATCTCCCCTAGATCCTCATTAAGATATGCAGCCTCCTGCTACCGGTGAAAATGGAATGACGAGACAAGTGCGCTGTCGTCAGCAAAGCAATATATTGGACTCTTGGTTTTTTCCAATAAGTCGTTGATATACAATAAAAAGAAGGTTGGAGAAAATATGGATCCCCGGGAAACACCGGCGTTGATGGTTAAAGTATCCGAGAGGTATCCATCGATGGCCATTGCAGGGAACGTTCTTTCAGGAAGCTGGAGAGACATACACAAAAAATTATTTGACAAGCTATAGCTTCGAAGTTTGGCCAGCAAACCCTTATGTCACACACGGTCAAAGGTTTTAGAAATATCAAACGCAACAACTCTCGACTCTCCATGCTTCTCGATTGCGTTCTTCCAAATATGGGTAACATACGATAGAAGTCGCAATGTGGATCTTTGTTTCCGAAAGCTATATTGATGTTCGCTCAAGATGTTGAAGCCTTACAAAAATTTGAGGATATGGTAGTTGAAGGCTTTCTCCATGATTTTTGATATTACTGATAGCAAAACGATTGGTCTATGATTATTTGGAAAAATGTTCTTTTCCTTTTCGGGAATAGGCTGCACGAGATCAATCTTCCAACAAGAAGGAAAAACCCCTTTCTTGTAAGACAGCTTAGAAAGGTTCATTTCGTAACACTTTGTTACACTTCATTTCATTTTCAACAACATTTTATGCAAATTCTTTGATTCATTCCTTAGCGTTCTGTTCTCATCTAACCTCAGCAGCTGCCATAGATGAAATAAACAATGATTGCAGCTGAAAATTTTATCACACTTTAGGAGCACGTACACTAACATAATAAAAAAAGTACAATCTGACTCTCCAAACTTGTGAAATATAAAAAATCCCATTATTTTCTGCCTCTGAAGTAACTGAGGTCATTCTATCTCTCAAAGAAGATTATATCGCTATTTGAATGAAGTGGTCTTCTGAAAATCTTGTAATGTTCTTCGTAAAGCTTTACGGTTGCTACCACGCCACCAGTAAGTGCCATGCATGGCCGGTGAAATAAACTTTTTTAAAATTTCAAATCTTTTAAATGTTAACATAAAATAAGTTTTGTATTTTTTCTCTGAAACATGAAAATTTTAATGTGTGACACTTTTCTATATGATGAAAACTTTGTTTTTCTCATTGCAACGTCTGACTTCTTACAATAACCTCAAGTTAATGTCTTGATAAAGGTAATAACCATTCTTAAAAGCTCGACCATTATGCAACTAATTTTCCTTTATTTTCAGTATTTCAATATTAAATTTTACAAAAAGGATTTGAAGCTTTATATCTTCTATTAATTATCTGCGAGCGCAGATGGTAGTAGTGTCATCTTCTAGGCACTCCTCCAACTGAACTTGTTATCTTGTCGTCTGCCTCTTTATACGGTCAGAGCGTCTCAACTCAGGTATTTCAGGTAATTTTGCCTGTATTTGTACTGCATCAGGTACTCTTCTCTAGGAATGTGTATGTTTTTGTTTAATATATTGAATGTGAGGTCTTGTTATGTTTTGATTTGTACTTGTTCCTCTTGTTGTGTTTTGATTTGTACTTGTTCCTCGATAAGTGATTTATGACTGTTAAATGCATGGATGTTCAAGTTTTCCCAAATGTCCATGCGGTTTCCCTTGTTGACTTGTTTTATGAGTTTTATGTTCTCTGGTGGGGGGAAATTATGTTCGTTTTCCATTTTCTAGACTTATTATCTCTCATAGTTTTCGATTTTCACATTCTGGCTATCCCTATCATTAATCACCTATCGTCTATTAACATCCAAGGTAAATTTACTTTATTTGCTGATGATACCACAATTTTTTGGAATGCTCCTATCAACTATACCTTGTATGAAGTTATGTGAGTGACATTTCGAAAGTGAAAGACTGGTTTGACTCAAATCTCTTGAGCTTGAATTTATCAAAAACAAAAGTAGTGTCCTATCGTTGCCAGATTCCAGCCTTACATCTAAATAATATTAGAACCGACAATGTAACAACTTCTAAATTCCTTGGCATGTTGATTGACAATAATTTGAAATTCAACAAATATGTAGATAGTTTGAAATCCTAGCTCTCCTTTGGATGTTATGCAATACGAATAACTGCATAAGAGCTCGGATCTGCAGTAGCTAGAATGGTTTATCATTTCCTCTTTGAATCCCATCTTCGTTTTGGTATTTACTTTTGGGGTGTGTGTTCTACCACATGCCTTCAATCAGTATAACTGATAGAAAAACGTGCAATACGATGCATATGTAACGCTTAGCCTAGGGACTCTTGTCGGCTCTTTTCGTCTCTAACAGAATCCTAACTGTGGTCTCCTTATTCATATATGAAACGATCTGCCTTATCTTTTAAAAAAGGAACTTTTTTAACAACTTGGACGAGTCGGTATATCAAACCAGGCAAAGATTTAGCTTGAAATTACCTCTGCCTTCTTCGACCCTAGTTAAAGATTCCACTATTTACAACGGTCTCAGAATGTTCGATCACCTTTCTCAAGCTATAACCTATATAACACCTTATTATAGCTTAGCAGAATTCTACGATGATAGTTTTAATTGAGTATGACTAACTGCAATATTTACGGTATTTTATTGATTTGATTTATTTTATTTTATTGACCACTGTTTCTCTGTACCGCCACATTTACGAAGGCTGAAATTTTGTATGTAGGTTCATTTTATGTTGTAGATGCGCAATAAGAAAGAATTTTTTAATATTCGAACTGGGGCACCCCCTGGAGATAAAAGGGGGGCATTTACATATGAAAATTACCTTTTCAACACTGTTTTTCGTACAGCTACATTTACGGAGGCTGAAATTTTATATGTAGGTTCGTTTTTTATTGTAGATGTGCAATAAGAAAGGATTTTTGAATATTCCAACAGCGGCGCCCCCCTGAGGATAAAAGTGTGCGTTCATATATGAAAATGATTTTTTATCACTGTTTCTTCGTACCGCTATATTTTCGGTGGCTAAAATTTCGTATGTAGATTCATTTTGAATTATAGATGTGCAATGAGAAAGGATTTTCTATGGGGGCGCTTCCATAAAACAAAATTATTATTTCATCACTGTTGACTTGAGTTGAATTGAATAGACAAAGAGTATCTTGTCTACACATTTGACATTGATCATAATATTTTTCAGATGTGGAGAATGGCCTATGCTACTATCACACTCTTCACCAATCTAAGCTAAGGACACAGTTTTACAGTAACAGAAGAATGATGGTTTATATTTGTTGTCTATGAAACCGTAGACTGAATTGGAATATTTAAATGTTTCTAGTTATGTTAACTGATATTACAAACATATAAGATTCATTCGTCTATTTTTCTAACGGATAAACTTAAAAACCACTTATCTGCTTTGAAATAAATATAATTACAATTATGTGGATACTGTAGTGGATTTTTCTGTTTGTATCCCGAATATATAAATAAATAAATAAATAAAACATGTGGGAATATTTCGAAGAAAGAAAGAAAATATTCAATTTCAAAATGAACTCTCCACAAATGTAGATCATGCAAAAACGTTCAAACACAAACTGGAAGGAAAACCCCTTCGAAACATCTATTTTAATATGAATATTGAATTACAGGAAATAAAATATACTTTCGAAACAACTACATTTACATGAACATAATTTTTTTCAATATTAACACTTGTCAACAAAAAGAATTTTTATTAACTTCAACTTTAGCTTAACTTAAAGTTTTAATAACTTCTAATTAACATATGTGAGCGCTTTCGATAGCAGACTGTGCTATCATCTACATGGCTTTATTCAAACTGAACGTTTTATCTTCTTGTTTGTTCTTTCATATGGTTAGATCCCCAAATTGTTGAACTACTTGAAATAATCGTTTATACGATTCCATGAATCCGGTTTTGTAACGTCAGCCCAGTTACCAAAAAAATTATTTAATTGAACTAGTTTCATAACGTTCCACGAAAATAGTGTTTACAAGGGCCTCATTGTTGGTTTTAGTGATACTGGTTGTTAGAAATCTTCTTTTAAGATACAGTGTGGAAGTGGTCACTAATAATACTCAGACCCTCCATTTGATTTCAATCAAATGATTTTCATTGATTTTCAATCACCTTAACTCTTATTGTAATATAATCAATTGTAAATCTAAAGAGTAACCAGTTCCAGCTCAGAGTCATTCTACAAAGATCAGTTATATATAAAATTTAACGAAATTTTTGCTATAAACGATTTTAATATCATGCTTAATTTTTTCAACTGAAATGCATTTCTTTGACCTTTTGAGTGTTAAAAACTCCCGCTCTTTGTGTAACGTACAATAATCAAAACGCTATTTAGACACCATCAAGAGCGTAAAACCACGGATTTTTACCTAACAAAGATAGTTTGGTGGAAATGCTGGTGGAAATACTATGGACATGAAAATTGTAACAATAATAATAGCAACATGTACAAGAACATTTTCCTCTCATCCTTGAAAATTCAATAGACAGAGTTCATAAAGTGTAATAAGTGTAATGTAGAACAAAACCATTACTCATAATAATATTATAATTGTTTCTAAATATTGAATGAATGATCTACTTCAAAAAAGGTAAGCTTTCATCAGTTTCGTGAGTAAATGATACTTTGATCGTTATTTAATTGGGATCTCAATTTTGGATAGCTACACAGTTTATTGCTTTTGCGTTTTGATCTAATCGCTTCATTAACGACACTGTACAACCTTTGGGCGAAACTGATATTTTCAATATTAGAGTAAAATGAAGGCACACGAGAAAATAAAAATTGGAGCAGAAGGTAATATTTTTGAACCATTTTATATTTTATTCTCACGTTAGTAACTTCTCCATATTTATATATTTTTTACAAGATATATAATCTATAATTTTCAAAGTTTTTGGTGCAAAGTTTTTTTATTTTTTGTTAACACCAAAAATTACTCAAACTTATACAGTATTGTAACAAAAACCTAATATTCAATAATATCAAATAACAAAATATCAAGATGAAATAGGTGTTTTGGAACAAACTAAAGTCATAAAGACTAGGTATATACACATAGAAAAGTTCGCCGGAGGCGCGAACATTTTTTGTTGTTGCACGCTTTGTTTAATACTAAAGTTAGGGCATAGGCATGACAATGCGTAAGAAGTGCATGAGGATCTATTGACTTTATTGAAGTTTGTAAACCATTTAAATGGCCGGCCATGACCGCAGTCCCATCATAGGTTTACGCAATTAACTTTTGCCTAAAATTATAGGTGTTACACGTACGAATTAAAAAATCAAACAAATCTTCAGCTGTGCGCCCAGATGAAACATCATGAATACTCATAAAACGTTCTACCACATTACCATCTTTGACATATCTAAAAACGATTGGAAGTTGTGATGTACGGGTAATATAGGTAGTTTCATCAATTTCCCATGCAAAAAAAGAAACACTTTCAATCTCCTTGTTTATATTTTCCTTAATAATATATGCCACACTGTATATAAGCTCATTTTGGATGGTTTTTGGGGTGCACGAAAGAACACTACCGTTTAAAAAAATGCCAAATTGTGAATTATATTTGCCCCATAACATTAAAAGTTCCTTGTGATTGCTGCGATTAATCGAATCTTCGGTTTCATCGTGTCCACGAAAAGCTAATTCTTGGGAACCTAAATAAATCGTAATATTGATATAATTCTTTTTAAATTCGACCGATTTTCCCTAACCTGATTATTAAAAGAAATTATGGCCTCTTTTTGAGCTGTATCTAAAGCTGTTGCTATATTTTGTTTGCTAAACAATTTTAATTTGAAAGACGAAAATATATGCTCCTTAGATTTAAAATGTCTTTCTGTAGAACGAGATAAATTTTTTAAATCGGAGTATCCTATTTTAGACCACGTTTGGTATTCGGTTTGTACGAAAAAAAAACACAGGGCCAACAAAAAAGTTTTTCTCGTTTAATAGAGGCCGGTTAGCCAATCACATTTATCGTACCAACTAATATTAAATCCTCGATTTTGTCGATTATCTAACGATTTAATCAAAATCAAATTTGGTTGAGGCCTTCTCTCAGAGTTTTAATAATGTAGTCCACTTTTAGCAGACATTATTATGAACAGCTTGGAGACCACTATAGTAAATTTCGACCTGGGTAAGAAACATATTCATTTTTGGTACAGAAATGTAGACGATATTCTCGCCTGTTTTAGAGGTACTACACGACAGCTGAACCAATTTATAACATTCATGAATGATTTCAGTAGCAACATTTAGTTCACACTTGAAACAAAAATAGAGAAACAGATAAATTTTTTAGACCTGACCATTACACAAAATCAAAATGAGTTCAATGATTTCAGAAAACCTAGCTATACAGACATTACCATCCCAAGCGATTCTTTCCATCCAGACAGTCATAAATTAGCAGCCTACAATTCAATGTTGCACAGAGCATTCTCACTGTCTTTGTCTGTTAACAATCTATAGCTAGGGAAATTAAAATAATTACAAAGATAGGTCATAATAATGGTTTCAACGCAGAAACAAGTTAGTCAGAAAATAAAGCTGTTAATTCACTTACAGATCAATATACCCTCAGGTCAAACAACCAGAAATCAAGAAATGGGTAACTCTAACATATTTTGGAAAAAGAACAGAGATAATTGCGGGTTTCTTCAGAAAAAACAATGTGGAAGTGGCATTCAGACCACATGCCAGGTTATCTGTTATCCTTATTCAATGTCAAACATAAGGTGGACAAGTTGGAGAAATCTGGAGTTTATAAGTTTAAGTGTCCGGAGGTGTTTATGTGGGACAATGTGGTCGAAATTTCCAAAAACGGTATGCTGAACATGAAAGGTCCTGTACCTGCAACCACAAGTTTCCGAATCTAAACGATACGGAAATTTTGCACTGTGCAAGGAAGGGTTACAAACTCAATTATTTACAATCTTTGGACGTTCAAAAGCATAAACATTGCGGGTGCAACCTGTTAAATGATCAAATAGATTCAGTTCACTCACCGGTTTACAAACTGGCACTTCCGCATTGTAAACTTGTAACCTTCGTTGTCGTAGATTGAAACGGGTTACTTTGTTACTTAGGAACTAAATTATGGGCTGTCGGAACTCAGCGGAGAGGGATGGTGGGTAAATATAAGTCCACTTGGAGGATAAGTGTATTGTTTCTTCAAACACGCCAAGCTTGTGGTGATTACAGGCTTATGGCCCAGAAGTATACTTTTGGGTTCACAGATATAAATGTAAGCAACTTATGATTAAACTTAAGGTGTGGTAAATACTTGGTTCCTTCTAGAATTCGCAATTTGTGCCGCAATGTTGATTCGAGGTCATGCGGGAGGGTGTAATACATAACAGGAAAGACCTTACATGCAGTCCACTCAGGCAATGATCTTTTCCATGCAGAATACTTGCTCCTCGGAAGACCGTAATAAGGGGTGTAGTGGTCTAGCCTTGCGAGAGATATACCAGGATATAGTTCAGAATATCGACTTGAGGTGGTAATAAGAAGGCCTAAAATGAGATTAAGGTTTAGAAGGATATACCCTTTAGATTGGAAGATTTGAATTTGACAAGAGAACGGGTACTTAATAAAAATCCCCAATACTGTGGGCGAGTTATTCCTTTAGATAACCCAAATATAGTTATTCCCGTATTGAATATTTTGGTTTCTTCAAATCCACAAAGTGATGAGCTCAAAATTCTTGCTACTCTCATTACCAGAGAAAAAAAACCCTTTTCTTTTTCCTTTCCTTTTTTTCCCTATCAACGTTATTCAAGGTCGAATTATTCTGATTGTCTTTAGGCACAAAAAACTGAACTGAATTGTTTTGAATGTTATACAGGGTGGATGCTGTGCATAAATATATGATTTCAATACATTACTTTTCTGTTATCTTATAAATCCACTCTTGCATTTTGGGAACCGTAACAAACTGTAAGTTCAGGTGATCATTCAAGCCAAGTACCACTATTCGTACCTACAAGGGTGGTATATAAGGTCTAATGTAATGAACCATTGTTAGCTTAATGTTTAATGTTAGATTAATGTTTGAAAATATCTTTATAGGACGAAACTGCAGTAACGTTTGTTACAAATAAAAGTGGTAAAAAACATAGTGGTAAAAAACATTATCTTTTCTTCATTATGATTTCCTACCACGTAGTAACGGCTTCATCCATCAATTTATTGAAAGATGAGTTAGATTCTGTTTATGTGGACTCTACACTCTCATTTAGACAGTGAAATTTTGGACAGCTGAATTCAAACGTGGCCGTAAGAGCTTGGGTGACAATTAACGTTCGAGA